ACTACAGGAACCCAGGCCCCCTTCACCTGGTTTTTTCAGGATTTGGGCTTCTAAGGCTGGCGTGTGGCACCGCTTTCAGTTCAGTACACAATATCTCAAGTGTGTGTGTGTGTGTGTGTCAAAAGTCCGGAGCGCATGCGTTTGGCTCAGTGAGGGACACGAGGGACACGCATGGTGGAGAGAACGTGGACACTCCTATAGGTCAATTTCTTCTTATAGGAAACTTCTGCCGCCGGCTTGCCCGGGAACTACTTGTATTAAGGAACTCTCCAGGATATTGTAAGACAATTCATGACAATTCCATGTTGCTGTCTTATTTACTTGGATTTACAGGATTCCCATCGATCTACGCGCTCTACGTACAAGCTGTTTTGGTGAACTACTGTAATTTGTATAGACGGCATTTGTCCCACCGTGGTAGATTTCCAAGAACGTTTCTCGTCATTTGTATGCCGGGCCTTGGTTGGCCTTAGTTGTGCAGTTGTGCAATTTTGCAAGACATGTTGAAATGTTGTGTCATTCTACGGAGATAGTCTGTATAAAGTGGCCTGACCACATGCCATGTCTATAACATGCACCGAAAATAATCCAACCCTCCAATCAACGAGCCTGTCACATAACATAGCTGTACTACTTGTCGAACCAGCTCGCGTCAGCTTTTGCATTCCTTACTATTCCATGCGCAGCTGAATCAGGAGTTCATTTGGCACGTCGCTTTTGGTGCTGCCCCGGTCCTACCAAGACGAGAAGAAGATCCGACGCTTTCCACCATTCTACGGTTCACCTTGGATGACACAACATCCCTGCCTCTCCCAGATCTTTCTTTGCTATTACACTGGCAAGCAAACAAGCAATGAACTGATTATGCTGACAGACTCGGTTTCCATTCATACTGCTTGCCTCTTGAACTGCCGACTGTGAATGAAGCCCAAAAGATGAGATCGTGACATGCGGCAGATTTTGTCGTCACAAGAAGTGCTTCAGATACGCCTTATATTATGCTTGAAAGAGAGAGGTAGGAGATGGCAGGAGAGCTTGAGGGCTTCTTTCGTCAATGTTTCAGGTAAAACAAGTGCTGCCACTGTAAAGTTTAGCAAAGAAAGGGTTTGATATGTTTTGATGATACATTTCGAGATGTATCGAATATTTTGCAACTTCATATTTCCTGTTCAATTTCCAGAACTTTTTGCTAGGGGTTGATGGACTGCATCATCACCAGTGCAGACCTGATCACTTGGCGGGGGCCTTTGTTGGTGTCTGTGGATGTGTGCGCGTGCCTTTCCGTGTGTGCAGTATTTGTGTCTTTGTTTGTCGTTTGCATCAGTGTGTGACTTTCAGACATCGCAGGGGCAGGGGCCTTTGGGATTCTAGGGCCGGTCAGAATTTTCAGACGCCTGGAAGCCTGAAACATATATATTCGGCAGCCAAAATGCATGCCTTTCATACATGCCTTGCCAGGATAGAAAGTGTCGAGAATCGAGTACTCCTCTACGAGTATTTGCAGCTTCGGGCAAAGGCGGTGCACTCTGTTTGCAATTTGTCCGACACATTTGCAGAAAAAGTCTAGATCGGATTTGAGAGGATATTGCTTGACAGGCCATCGCTTGGTACAAAGAGCCAGCGCAGGACAGTCGCTGATTGCATATTGCCATCCAGAGTACACCGTCCAATTGCCCATCAGAGTCACAGAGTCGATTTTGTAGACCAGGAAGACACTGCCTTAGTATGCCAGAGTCGATTTGGATGCGTGGAAATTCGCGGAACAGCCATAGAGAAAAAAGGTCCTAGTAGATTCCTTTGCTAGTAATTACAATTCTAATTGAATTCCTATTGTTACTACTAGTAAGGCACTTGTTTCTAATAGCTTCTAGTTACTACTAGTAAGGCACTTGTTTCTAGTAGCGATGCACTTGTTCCTAGTAGCTTCCTTCCATCGTTTCTTGCTGGAGCCGTTTCGATTCGAAGGCTTACTTTGATGGAAGGCGAAATGTCATGCTGTCGTCGACGAGCTCTCAGTGCTGTCTCAGTGCTGGCGTCATATGTTCATGTTGTTCGCTCGAACTGTTCTGGTCCACTGGTGGCAAAGTCTTACTGTAGCTGCTCTTTTCTTGGCGGTTGCAACGACATCATGATTTGCATTGCTATGCAGTGCAGCCCAAACCTCATGAACCAAGTTTCACAAAGTTGTAATGTTGCATGTCGCAGACGACCACCTAGTGCCATGCCTTTCCTGTTATAGTTATAGTGCGCTACATTCCTACAAAACATCAGAGGCATTTTTGGTGGTCCCTTTGCCAAATAGCAATCTGCTGAGTCGTGGTGATTCTATGTCTCAATCGTCTCATAGCTATGCATAGCTGTCAGATCCGGCAATCATGGCGTGAGTGACCCTCTGAGGATAGAGCAGCCAGGTGCTTCTGAGGCCAGTTCACTCACCCGTCGCCGCAGATGTTGGATTTCATGCTGACTGAGCTATGACAGCGATCAATTGCTACGTTTCCTTCCAAACATTCCGAACCCTTGAAAGATCTTGAAAGGTGCTTGCAAAGTTCCTTGAAGAGGAAATGGCGCGCACGCAAGATGTGCAGTCGTCGCTGCTTGTTCAGTATTTGCACAGCTCTGGTTCCTGTGAACGACATATATATATATATATTATAGTGTTTCGTCAGGCAACTACTAAGGAAGCACTTTACGATATGCCAGACAAGGCAGGTGTGTATGGTGTGGCCATGACATTGATTATGCTGCAGAGGTTAGCAAGGGCAAACCTATGAAGAGGAGTTTCCTCTTTTCCAGGGGCACTACCTGCCGAATCTGTTCAACCCTCATGACGACAGCCTGGGCCAAGACGGCTGTGTGGACATAGACGAGTAGCGAGTGGCCCACGCGTGATGCCTTCTCAGTATGGTCCGTGTGTCGGAAATTGCGGCATCTTTGTGGAGAAGCTGCGAAGCTTGGATGAACGATGTCAGTGAAACGATTCCCAAGGAATATTCTAGTTGCAAAGCGTTTTTGTTACTAGTAGCGATGGCCTCCAACCTGATAGTGATGGCCTCCACCTAGCTTCTAGTTATTAGAAAGCTCTTGTCACAGGTGAAACGATTCCCAGTGAAACGATTCCCAGGGGGCTTGGGCATCTTTGCGGGGAAGCTGCGAAGCTGCGAATGTGTCCGCCTTCAACTCGTTTTAGCAGCGGATTGAGAGAATCAGAGATTGCCCGCCCAGAAGCGGTGGGACAAAGGCTTTTCTGATTCTGTTGTGACTTGAAAACCTGCACCTCCGACACTTGCCAGAGGCTTGATGAATTGCAATTGTTGCTCCCACATCAAGGACTAACTGGTTTGTAGTCCTTTTAACGATTTGTTCCTTCACAGCTCGCAGAAGCATGCAAAAGTCACCACATGATTGGAGCTATTTGGAGCTAGTAGTCAGACTCATTGTAATCATACTACTGAAGCACAGCAACAGCAGCGGCAACAGCACCACCCTCAACATCTATAGCTTTGCTTGGGAATATAGTAACAAGAAGCTCCTAGCGGCTCCTGGCATCGCTACTAGGAGCAAGGACGCTACTAGGGGCTCCTGGCCTTACTACTAGGAGCAATGTTCGCTACGAACGGAACAAATCATCGTCCTCGTCTCCACCGGAACTCCTTCACGTCGCCATGGGTCGCCGAGCGCCCAACATCGCGTTGCTGGGAGCCTTCGCTGGCTTCGCCTGCACGGCGTTTCTGGTGGTCCGGCCAAGCCCAAGCCGTCTTCCACGTGCAGCAGGGCCGACCTTGGAAACAGTGACCTGACACGCGGAAGTGGTGGCGGAGGTGCAGGTCGCAAGTGGGTCACTGGAATCAAAGCACAAAAACGACAAAGCCCTACCATAGACATTATGTTTGTGATTGAAACTTGCTGAATAGAACAAGCAGATGGGACATCCTTTCTACTGGTCCTGGTATGTTCACCTTCTACAACAACGTCTATACATGACTAACTGCATATCCCAAATTCACTATCTTGGCCCTGCAAATCAACCGTGGGACTCATTTACTCTAACTGCTGTAAGTATCCCCAAAAAAACAATACCATCCAATACGTGCAAGACCGACACGCAACAATTCTCATCCTATTTCATACCGTGTTTGTGTGTATTGACCATTCACAGCCTGTCGATGTAGGCGTAGCATTGTTGTCCAGTGCTAGATCTGCCCGGCTTGTTTTGCAGTGGTGTTCAATAATCCTGACGCTGTGTTGGTGATGATTTGTGAAGTTTCTTGCTTCGGATTCGATAAGTTCGCTTCCGGATCGTTCATGCTTTGATCCCTGATGTTTTCCGCTGCCATTCAGGGATCCCTTCGGCCAACTGTGGCACTTGAAGCCCGAGGCCTGAAGACAGGCCAGTCCCCGCGACACTTGCTGTTCGCCATAGGTGGAAAAGACCGCCTCCGGTCGCATCGAGAAGTGTACCAAGTTTACTTCGCTTTTGAGTGCCACCGGCTACCTGACATTGGTAGCGGAGCCGGGCGGTCCTGCCTGGCTCGCTCGGTCTGCTGACCGGGCTTTGAGATCAAGTTCTTCGAGGCCGACCTCTCTGAGAACGGTGGCTTCGCCTACGACTACGCTAGAACTCCATCCTCGAGGATTCCGATAAGCTCTTCCTGGCGCTGCTGCCTGCTGCTGAGGAGAGCTCTACTCCCTGGTCATCTCCCTCGACCTGTTTGAGAAGGACCTCATGAGTTCGAAAGACTTCACAAAGAGGTTGCTAGTTGGAATGGAGAGCCAACAGGCTGGAATGACTATGCACGACAAGTTCGCCTATGTTGGGAGAAGACACCAAAGCACAAACGAAAGCTCTTGGGGCCAGAATTGGCCAGCAAGCTCACTGGAAGGGCATGGGCTGTGACTCCAAACTTGGATCACAGCAAACTTGGAAAGCGCAACGGCACCAAGTATCTCTTGAAGTACCTCCAGGAGCGCCTTTGCCGCACGGCCATCCCGGATGCTGGAGCAAGGTTGGAGGATCTGCTGATCCGACTACGCAGGCCATTGGGAATGGCCATGAGTCAATGGGCCAACGAGGTCCTCGAGGGCTACAGGAAGGTGCAGAGAGCTCTCATCAGGGCACGACAGCTCCAGAGATCCAATGGACAAAGAAGAGGTGAAGAGTGTCTCGGAGCCGCATCAAGAACCTCCTACATCCCCTACGAGGAGGACACCCGCTTCGAGCCCTACTCACCGGACGACCCCGAGCCCAACACGCAGAACAGTTGGATATGGAGCAGATCCTCAGGCGACCATTCAAGAGTCTGAGGATGAGCAAGGTGACTATGCAGCGATCCCTCAACGAGATCCTCATGAGCGTGATGATGAAGATGACCATGTCGGTCAAGGTTGGACTGACGCGGAGTGGAGAGAATGGAGAAAGCAACAACGCAAAGACTGGTATGACGACGACTCCAGTTCTGGTGAAGACCTTCCTTGGGATGAGCTGCAAACCGAAGAGATTCAGGTCTTGCCGGACGAGGTGCTAGGTTGGCTCTTGCTCAGACGGGCCAACTTGAGTGCTGCATCACGTTTGTCGGTGCAGGCTTCCGTGAACAACTCCCTGAAGTTCCAGGGCATTGAGGTGGCGCTACGAGATCAGAAAGAAGAACTTCTTCAAGCGGATCAATCTCGAGGACAGCATCATGGCAAGCGCCGCACTTACTGGGTTGAAGAAGAAGGCCAATGGGGCCTGATGGCCACGACTTCTGAGGAAGTGGATGATGCAGCGGAGATCCATTGGGTTGGACCTCAACTTCCTGCTGAAGTATATGACCCAGGAGTTGGTAGTTCCTTGGACACTGAGGAGGACGATGTGTTCTGGACTTGGGAGGTTGATGGATGGCATGGATATTGCCAAGATGCCTATGGGTACTGGCTCGAGACCGATGGACATGGTGCCTTTTGGAGCGCAGATGAAGGCTATTCCGACCTGAACCCCGAGGAGGTCAAGGAGCTGGATGAAGCCTATATGGCCTATGAGAACAAAGCTCGCACCTTCATGCAGAGCCGACAACTTCAGCGAGCAAAGGGTGCTAGCCGAGGATTCTACCCCCTCGGAATGATGAAGGGCAAGAAAGGAAAATCGAAGGGTAAGTTCAAGAAAGGAAAGGGGAGCGGAAGTTTTAGCTCCTCGAGCTCTTCGTCTTTGCAGCCGAAGCCGCTATTTGCAGCTCAAGGTCAAGATGGTGGACCATCGACCTCTTCGAGTGTGGGATGCTTCATTTGCGGAGACAAAGGACATGGTTTTCGAAACTGTCCCAAGAGGACATCTTCCTCGAGTCCTTCATTTGGAAAGGGTTCAAAGAAAGGAACCTACTGGGTTGAAGCCTTGACTGGATCCCCTCTTGCCTTTGTGGGCATGGCCATGGACGAGAATGAGGTGATCCACAACACTGATGGTTATGGTGTGCTGGATTTGGGGGCCACAGAAACCGTTGGCTCTCTTGAAGCTTTGGAAGCACTCATGATGATACGCAGCACTGTCCATGGAATCCAAGAGCCGGTGGAGGTGTTCACTGGACCTTCATCGAAGAAACCTTTTCGCTTCGGCAATGGTGGAGTGCAAGTCTCCTCAAGCTATGTCATGGTTCCCCAGCGCCTTGGTGATAGACTAGTGTCACTTGGTGTGTACACGATCGACGCTGAGAAAGTGCCCATTCTGATCGGCATGAAGACGCTTGAGAAGATGGGAGCGTTGATCGATGTTTGTGGCCGCTGGTTGGTGCTCTCTGCCATCTCGCCTGAGGTGAAGATCCCTTTGGCTAAGAGCCGAGCAGGTCACTTGTTGGTGAATCTCACCATGGATTGGCTCAACGTGAGTCAGCCTTTGAAGAGCGCTGGAGACCATCGAGTGTACATGGAGCCTTGTCGATCGTCGTGGTTGCAAACAACTCCACTCATCACCAATTCCTTTCAGTCAGAGCATGTTTCCTGCAGTTCATTTTCGTTCACGTCGTCAGCTTCAGCTTTGACTTGTGATGTTGTTTGGATGATGAGACATGAAGGCGAAGAAGGTAGTCCAGGTGAAGACTTGCATGGAGACGGAGTTTTTCTTTTGGATGATCACCACGAACTTCATCCGTTGCCTTCAGTGACTCAAGAGATGAGAGACATCATCCTGCAACAGCTCATCAGCCCAGAGAGCGTTGCATCCCCGAACTCTCCTCGCCACGAGGAGAAGGTGGCACCGACGAAGAAAGCCATCCCGGCCGAGGAGAAGTACGACTGGTCGAGGACTCAAGGGCCCGACAAGGAGGATCCACGAACCTCCGGGCCACCATGCCACGGAGAACATGTGGAAGCTCTCCCAGGCAAGGGCTCAGTCACGGGGAGCAACAAGTACGCGCGCTGGACCGGATGCCAAGCATGCGGACTGAGGCTCAGCTACACGCCGACCTGGGGCAGTCATGGCCTATGCAGACAAGCTGGCCCTTTGCACCAAGACACCACCAAACAGCTCGAAGAGAAGAAGCCAGCAAAGGGTTCTGTCGACCTTGTGAACAAGAAGATCGGCTACGACGCCCAGGAGCGCAGCATCATGGACCAGCTCAAGATGGTCCAGGCCAAGAAGGAAGAGTGGCTCAAGACTCAAGCCATCAAAGACAAGAACTTCAAGGAGAACGAGTTGATGGACAACGGCAAAGGCCCTGGGAAGGGCTATACACAAGGCAAGGGCCAAGGGAGCTCAAGTCAGCATCAAGTGGAGACAAGTTTGATGTCTTCCGGACCAATCCCGACGGAGAAGACTCCGGCGGTGCTTGCCGAGGAGATGAGCCACACGCCTGGTCGCAAGAGCCGCAAGCCCGAGGAGACAGCGGAGGATTTGGAGTATGGTCAGAGGCTCACAGAGAGTCCGGAGTCGGAAGCTTGGTCGATGATCTCAGGTCAGCCGGGCGGAAGAACACAGTGAAGAACATGTCGGAGGAGGACAACGCCCGAGGACTGAGCATGACCGTTTCACAAGCATGGAATTCACCTACATCATCGCCACCACCTATGGCTGAATCGACCGAGATGGTCTTGGAAGAGAACCTCACCTCTGAGGGAGAAGGAGATTTCACCCCTGATAGCATTTTGCCATCAGGAGACATCGGCATTTTGCAGATGGACAACCCTTCCAAAGGCAAGCGAAAGAAGAGAGACCAGGATGACAATGAGGTCTTCGTCAACAAGCTTGAGAAAGAAGAGAAGACTTTCCTGGTCGATGAGGTGGAAACCTATTTGGAGGAGGTTGAAGAGCTCATGATGACCCTGACGACCACGAACAATGAAGGTAGACCACCTACAGTTTTGGAGCTATGCTGTGAAGAGAACAGTGGGATCACTCGTGCGCTGGAGCTTCGAGGAGGAAGAGGCATCCGTTGTGGATTGTTCAATGGATGTGATCTCAACAAGAGAAGTGGCTTCAATAAAGTTATGAGCCTCATCCAGGAGGAGAAACCGGATGTGGTGTGGGTGGCATTACCATGTGGTCCGACCTCGCAGATCCAGGAGCTGAACATGCTCACTCCGGAAGGCTATGAGAAGATCCAAGCCAAGATCGCCAAGTCTCGGAAGCTGGCAACCAGAGCGGTGACTTTGATGGAAGCCCAGCTCAAGCGAGGCGGAGAAGTGGCACAGGAGTGGCCACGACACAACAAAGGTTGGAAGTTCAAGGTCATCGAGGACTTCTGGCACAAGATTCAGCATCATGAAGCTCATGCTGATGGATGCGCTTTTGGTCTAAAGGCACCCTGTGGAGGACTGATCAAGAAGCCTTGGAGATTGAGGGCGACTACACGCCGCATTTGGAAGCTTCACAAGCTTTGCCATTGCGAAGGTCCTCATGTTCCTTGCGAAGGTGGCACCTTGACCAAACAGAGTGCATTCTATCCAACCAGGATGTGCCAGCAGATTGCAAAGATGGTAGAAGAAGTTCATGGAGATCGAGACGAAGCCATCTACATGAATGCCACAGAGGACTGCGACATGGACACTCTCAAGCCCTTCACGGACCAAGAAGTTCAAAAGACTGCTGGAGAAGTGCTCAAACTCCATCAGAAGTTGGGACACCCAAGTCGCCAAGTGTTCCTCAAGATGCTTCGTGATCGTGGAGCAGGAAAGCTGATTCGCACCTTGGCCTCAATAGTGCACTGTCCAGATTGCCAAGAAGCTGCAATACCTCCATCACGGAGAGCTGTGACACTGGAACAAGCTACTGAGCTTTGGGAGGTGATCCAAGTGGACAACATGGAGATCAACATCGGTGATCACAGCTACCATTTCCAGATCATCACTGATGAAGCTTCAGGCTACGGGGCAGCCAACTTCCTCTTCAAGCACCAGATCACCCCTGGACAATCTCGCAATGCAACCTCGCAGGAATGTGTGGATGCTCTATACCGAGGTTGGATCCAGTACTTTGGCTAGCCCAAGATGATCAAACTGGACAAGGAAGGTGCACACCGTGGACGCCACTTTGAGGAATGGGCTGAAGGCCATGGAGTTGAGGTCAATGCCATTCCGGCAGAAAGCCATGGTCAGATTGGTCAAGTTGAAAGGCTCATTGGCACCCTGAAGAGAAAGATGCTGTCACACCTTCGGTCATCGGCTATGACACCCGAGGTGGCAGCTGGGCTATGATTGGAGCACACAACTCTCTGTCGAACATTGGAGGCTACTCGCCAGCGCAATGGGTCTTTGGGAGGAACTTCACGGATTCACTTCGGCTTCATGATGGACCAGATCTCCCCTACTGGTCTGGAGTTGGTAACACAGAGAAGATGCAGAAGCAACTGAACAGTCGCCTGGAAGCTGAGAAACATCATCGGGAGTTCATCTTGAAGGAGAAGATCAACCAAGCTCACAACACGAAGATGGCTCGACCAGTTCGTTATGACCCAGGAGCTTTGGTCTACTACAAGAGGTACCAACCTCCAGCGGATCGAGCAGAACGATCGCACCGGACCCTTGATGTTCCACGTCGCAAAGTGGCAAGATGGTACGGTCCTGCAAGAGTTCTGGCTCTCGAGACCAAGGTGAGCTACGATGGTCATGTTCGACAACCGCACCAAATCGCCTGGATCATTGCCTCAGGACGACTGAAGAAGGTGCACGTGAACCAACTTCGACATGCTTCAGAGAGAGAGAGATTGGTGGCTCAGGGCACGACGCAGTTGACGCTTCCTTGGACGTTCCAAGATCTGACTGGTTTGATCAACAAGGGAGAGTTCGATGATGAGATCATGACCGACCACCAGCAGAGAGAGGAAGCTAAGCGTGCCAGACTGACTGCAGAGGAGCGCGAAAGAACTTACCGCGCCAAGAGAGCCTTAGAATCCATTGAGGAAGAAGATGCACCATCTACGGGGCAAGCCAGTGCTTCACGACCTCGCATGGAGTTCCTGCCACCGGAGGAGGAGACTTTGCCCGAAGTGGAGATGGAGGAGGAAGATCCACTCGACCCTCGCCATGAGGTAAGAGATGACTTGGATCCAGAAGGGTTGATCCACGATCCCCAACAACTACTACAGCAAGAACCGGATCCAGCACCCCTCTACCGTCATCCTCTCTTCCTTCAAGCCAGAAGACGTCATGAGCATGCAGAGAGACCACAACATGTGCAACGTCAAGAGTTCCTTCGGGAACGGGGCACTATGGAGCCTGACAACATGTTTGTGGATGAAGTGGCCCTGGACGAGATCTTCCTGAATCAAGTGGAAGAGTATGCCTTTGCGGTGACCATTCCAACTCCTGCCAATGAAAGTGAATGGCGTGCCATTGTTCGTGATCCTGCAAAATTTGTGGCGAAGAAGCTTGCAAAGGGAGTGGAAGTGTCTTGGCAGAAACTCAACCCAGAGCAAAGGCTGGCTATGAAAGAAGCCAAAGGCATCGAGATCCAAGAATGGCTCAGCTCGAAAGTCTGCAGGGCAGCCATTGGCCCAGTACCAGCAGAGCGCCTCATGCGCATGAGATGGGTTTTGGTTCTGAAGGGCACCAACGACCCGAAGTTCGTCAAGGCGAAGGCTCGCCTAGTGGTCATTGGTTTCACTGACCCTGACCTTGGCCTGGAATCAGTGCGGAGCCCAACGTTGACACGCAGAGGACGTCAGTGTTTGCTGCAGATGGGCATCCATAAGGGTTGGCAGACTTTGAAGTCAGACGCCAGAGCTGCTTTCTTGCAGGGTGGTGACACTCAACTTCGTCGCCAGATCTTTGGAATGCCGGTCTCTGAACTCCAGGAGGCTATGGGACTTCAGCAAGGACAAGCAGTGCAGTTCATGAAAGCAGCCTACGGGTTGATGATTGCACCTCGCGAGTTCTACCACCACGTGGACCGTATCCTTGCTCAGTTGTGCCTTCATCGTCTTCATGTGGAGCCGAGCATTTGGGTGCTACGACAACGAGATGAGCAAGGGAGGACTAAGGTTCATGGAGCAGTTGGAGCGCACGTCGACGACTTCCTGCTGATGGGTGATGAGGAGGATCAGCTGTGGGGAGAGTTCCTCACAAAGTTCTTCAACTCATTGAAGTGGAGTCCCTGGGAGGTGCCGCCCATGGTGCATTGCGGCGTCTGGATGAGCCAGGACGAGAAGAACGCCTGGCATCTGAGTCAGTCAGAGTTTTGTGAAGGCCTCAACCAGGTGACGGAAGATGGTCATGGCAAAGAGCTGACCAAGAACGAGCTTCACCAATGCCGTGCAGTGTTGGGAGCAGCCCAATGGAGATGCTACCAGACTGGACCACAGCATGCTGCGAAACTCAGCCGCCTGCAGAGTATGCTGCCGCGAGGAGATCGCAACATCCTCAAGGACATCAACAAGTTTGTCCGAGAGCTCTACAGCCAAAAGGAGGAGAAGGTGTCGGTCTATGACCTCAAGGCCTCACAAGATGAGGACATGGCTGTGGGCTGGAGTGATGCAGCGCTCGCAAACCGCATCGACCTGTCATCGACGGGAGGCTATGTGGTTGGCTTTGCGAACAAGAGCATGGTCCAAGGACTTCAAGGGCATGTCAGCTTGGTGAGTTGGAGCACCCACAAACTCAAAAGGGCGTGCAGATCAAGCTTAGCTGCTGAGGCTCAAGCGCTTGCAGAATGTGAAGCAGAGCTTTTTCTGGTTCGCGCTTTGTGGCAAGAACTTTGGGCGAGGACCTGGACTTGAGCAATCCTAGCACCACTGCTAAGAAGACGGCTGGCATCTTGGTGATCGACGCCAAAGCCTTGTTCGACATGCTCAAGCAGGAGGATGTGCCCAATTTGTCTGCAAAAGAGAAGCACACGGCGCTGGAGGTCATGGGTCTGAATCAGCAACTGCAGGAGCAGAACACGGTTCTGAGGTGGGTGAACTCTCACCAGCAGCTTGCAGATGGCATGACCAAGCTGTCTGCTGCAGACGGCATTGCGAGCTTTCTCAAGGGGAAGCAAAGGTGGAACCTGGTCTTCGATGAGACCTTCACGGCCGCCAAGAAGGTGAAGAAGAAGGAGCAAGCTGAGAAGGACTCTGAAATCCCGGATCTAAAAGATCCAACGTGGTTAGAGATCCAGCAGCGAACTTCGGGGCATGTGAAGTTTCTTGCTTCGGATTCGATAAGTTCGCTTCCGGATCGTTCATGCTTTGATCCCTGATGTTTTCCGCTGCCATTCAGGGATCCCTTCGGCCAACTGTGGCACTTGAAGCCCGAGGCCTGAAGACAGGCCAGTCCCCGCGACACTTGCTGTTCGCCATAGGTGGAAAAGACCGCCTCCGGTCGCATCGAGAAGTGTACCAAGTTTACTTCGCTTTTGAGTGCCACCGGCTACCTGACATGATTTTGGTACATAGATCATGAAAAATGCCGAAGAGCATTGAAGAGCTCTCCTCAAGTCTCAGTGGCAGAGGTTTGGATGGTTTTGGAAAAGAAGCCACCCACGTTGGCTCCTTCATGAGGCCAGATCCACCTTCGACCAGCTCTTTGAGGAAGACCAACGACCCATTGTCCTGTATGATGGCACCGTGGCCAGCACTTGGAGCAGACTGAGGGACAAGATGTCCTTCCTTCCCTTCCTTCATCCCAAATGCATCCAAACACCCTTCCACTTACTAACATGATCTAAAAGTATCACATGGCATGGGGAACTGCCCGTGAGCAGGAAGCTGGGTTCTTTGTTCGCGTGTCAGTGTAAGTACAAGACCTTTGTAATCGAAATGTTGAGGAGAATCACACATTTCGGAGGGGTAACTTGGCTGAGCATTGCCATTCAAGGTGTATGCAACATGTGCAACACTGCAGTTGACGTTGCGTTGCAGAAGGAGAGATCATTCTGTACATTGACTGTACATGGCTCTTTGCTCTCCTGATCTCTACTGCAACATACTGACCTACTGTTGGTGCAAAGTAGGCTCACACAGAGACTCTAGAGTCAGGCAAGCATGGACACCGAGTCACAAGACGGTGGGCACTGGCTTGCTAGTAGTAACAAGTGCATCTCTAGCTTGTTCCTAGTAGTAATGCCAGGAGCTACTAGTAGCTTCTTGCCTCTAGTAGCAATGCCCTAGCTACTAGTAGCGTTCTTGCTACTAGTCGCGATGCACCTTGTCCCACCTGCCCTGATCAGGACCCTGATGGCCGAAGGTTGCGATTCTCTGCTCTTCAATCCAATGTTGGGCAAGATCTCTTGGTCTTTTGCGGTAAAGAGGCTCAGGTGAGGTGCTCAGATATAGGTGTCTATAGTCTCTATTTCCCTGTGAAAAAAAAACTCAATTGCAAGAATGATGTTGGCATTTGCCATCCTTCCCAAAAATGACAACTGACACATTTTAAGCCACACCGACCTGGAGTGTTTTTGGTGGTGTCTTGAAAAGAGGACTTGAGCTCAATGTTGGTGGTGAAGCCTGATGGAGAGTGCCTTGTAAAGTCCGATGCTGTGGTCTTCGCGGGATCCTGAGGGCATGGGATGGGAGTGCTTTTGGGTGTTGTATCATTGTGTACCGATTTGTTCTCAAAATGAGCTCGCCAACCAACAGGTCTGTATTTGCGCTCCAAACAAAACACAATTATTCAAGGATTAAAGGCTCCTTATTCTGAGACGTGACCAGATTGATCTATACTATACGGCTGTAACATCAACAACCTGTTCAACACACTGAGCAGAAGTGCTTGTCAAAGCTTGTGTTTCACCAAGACAAAAGCATAATGATGAGCATTGATCAGCGATGATAAGGTTGGGCAGCAGCTTGAAGGAAGCAAGGTCTTGCAGGGATTGAGCAAGGCAGGATACACAGAGCTACTTCTGGATATCAGAGAACCAAAGCAGCAAAAATAAGACCGTTTCGAGCATTGGCATGTTCTTTTGATGATGATGCGTCTTTGAACAGCTTCGTGTGCAAATTGCTCGTTTTTACATGTTCATATTTAGTTTTTTTGTAACTGACCAATGACTAAGTATACTATAAACTGTTGCTTTATTTACCAGGCTACCGCCTGCAGCCGCCGACCCCCGAGGGAAAATGTAGCGGAAAGGGTGGTACGTGGAAGTAGCTGGCGCAGGTGTAGGGTTGCGCGAAGGAGTGGCACGAGTCCCGGGCTGGTCGCGGCCGGGTGCCTGCCAGTGCCCTTGGTGTTTCCTAGAGGTAGTCACGTTTTCCGAGGGATGTGTTTGTGGCATTTCCTTCGGAAGGCTCTGAGTTTTTCCTAGATTTTGTAAAGGCCCCGTGTTGGGTTTTTGGGTTCCCAGATTTGCCCAAAAAATGGCTAACCCATTTTACCAGGGTGAGCCAGTTTTTCGAAGCAAGCGTGCAAACGTGCGACAGCGCTTGCGAAGCTCGGCCAGCTGTGTGCCACGGTCGTGCGCAAGCAAGGGAGGAGACCGTAGCCGTTTGGGCGGGGGGGCATGTGCGCGTGGTGGAATGTATTCGGTGGAGCAGGCTTATTTACCAGGCATCCTGTCAAAACTTTTGCAAAGCGCATGAAAGGAATGAGAACAACAACGGAAGAAAATGGGTTAGCAATTTTCTTTGCAAGTCTGGGAACCCCAAAAGCAACACAGAGCCTTTACAAAGACCTAAAGTAACCAGGGATCCTGTCAAAACCTTTGCAAAGCGCATGAAAGGCATGAGTACAACAATGGAATAAAATGGGTTAGCAATTTTCTGGGGAAATCTGGGATCCCAAAAACAAGAGGAAATGCTGGAAATTCCTTTGAAAATCCTACAAATCCAGCGGAAAACGTAACAAAATCTAGAAACAACCAAGAGCATTCCGAGGAAAATGCTGGAAAAGCCTTTGAACATCCTACAAATCCAACGGAAAACGTGACAAAATCTAGGAAAAATCAAGGGTATTGGCAGGGACCACGCCGCGACCACCCGGGATTCGAGCCCGGGACCATTTATGGACCGTGCTTATTTTCCCGCGCGGGTGGAGAGGGTGCCCCAAGATGTAATCAATTGGGATGGAGAAATCTTGGACAACTCTTCGAGAAATCTTGGCAGATTTCGGCAGATTTCGTCACTGCAACAAGGGTCCGGAGGGGTAGGGGAGGTAAGGCCAAGGCTAAGGACTAAGGCTAAGGATAAGGCTAAGGCTAAGGCTAAGGAAAGGCTAAGGCAAGGCTAAGGCTATCATCGACAGTCACGCCTGACCCCACGAGTGGGGTCGGCGGATTGGCTCATGACTGTCACTGCGGACTTGTTCGACCAAGAAGGAGAGTGTGAGAAGGATCCAACCATGGGAAGTATTGGGAACTATGTATTCTGAAGCGTTTTGCGTGAAAGACTGATAACATGCTTGATATGATCGCATTTTTGTACCACTTGGAAGTGGTATCATACTGGTGCCAGGTAGCCGAATCACTGCTGCCAAAGCCAGTGCGAGATGGGGCATACAAGGTCATTGCGAAGGCCAGAAGAACAAACTTCAATGTCGTTACTTTTCATGGGTGGAGGCCATCGCTATCAGGCTGGAGGCCATCGCTAGTAGGGTGGAGGCCATCGCTATTAGGCTGGAGGCCATCGCTAGTAGGGTTGAGGCCATGGCTACTAGGCTGGAGGCCATCGGTAGAAGGGTGGAGGCCATGGCTATTAGGCTGCAGGCCATCGCTAGTAGGGCGGAGGCCATGGCTATTAGGCTGCAGGCCATCGCTAGTAGGTTGGAGGCCATGGCTATTAGGCTGGAGGCCATCGCTAGTAGGCTGCAGGCCATCGCTAGTAGAGTGGAGGCCATCGCTAGTAGGGTGGAGGCCATCGCTAGTAGGGGAGGCCATGTATATTAGGCTGGAGGCCATCGCTAGTAGGGTGGAGGCCATGCCTATTAGGCTGGAGGCCATCGCAAATGGGCTGGAGGTCGTCGCTAGTAGGGTGGAGGCCATGCCTATTAGGCTGGAGGCCATCGCTAGTAGGCTGGAGGCCATCGCTAGTAGGGTGGAGGCGGAACCCATATTTTTTGAGGATATTTGTTTTTGCGTCCCTTTTGTTCTTTTTTTTCACCGTTGGTGGTTTGATAGCTTCTGTTAGCTTTGGCTTTTGGTGGCTTTGGGCTTTTGGCGGCTGTTGGCTTCTGTTGGCTTGTGGCAGCTTTTGGCTTTTGGCTTTTGGTGGCTTTTGGCTTTTTGCGGTTTCTGGCTTTTGGCGGGTGTTGGCTTTTGGTGGCTTTTGGCTTTTGGCGGCTTGTGGTGGCTTTTGCTTTTCGTGGCTTTGTTTGCAACTCACAGACGACCATGAGATATTGTGTTATTGGAATCCTCGCATTGTTTCATTCTTTCATGCGTGAGCTCTGAAGTGTAATTTGCACTTTGAGGTTCAAAAAAGTGCTGCGCCTGCCACAAAAAGGTTTCTAGGTTTACAAAGTGCTGCACCTGCCACGAAAGGTGCACTTCCAGGTTCACAAAGTGCTGCGCCTGACACGAGGTCTGCACTTGAAGGTTCACGAAGTGCTGCGCCTGCCACGAAATCAGCACTTCGAGGTTCACGAAGCGCCGCGCCTGCCACAAAATCTGCACTTTGAGGTTCACGAAATGCTCCGCCTGCCACAAAATGAACAACTGAAGGTACTCAAAATGCTATGCCAGCCACGGAACCACTATGTGAAAGCGCTACCAGAAAAATACTCCCAAAAAGAGCACCAAAACAATCTTGAAAAAATCGGCAACCAATGGCTATTGGGCTGAAGGCCATCGCTAGTAGGGTGGAGGCCATTGCTAGTAGGGTGGAGGCCATGGCTATTAGGCTGGAGGCGATCGCTAGTAGGGTGGAGGCCATCGCTAGTTGGGTGGAGGCCATGGCTATTAGGCTGGAGTCCAGCGGCTGGAGGCCATCGCTAGTAGTAACAAGATTCCATTGAAGTTGCTTTGTGTTGTAGCTTGCTTCCCAGAACCGCTACAACGTCTTGGGGCGGAGGAGCGAGCTTCGTTTGGGGCAGGACCGTGCATGGCGTGCTGGGTGCAGCTGGTTATGCAATATTATGCAAGGTATGTTTGATAGGTCTAGCCCAGTGGTGTCGAATGAAGAACTGCTACTGCTGAAGCAGCAGTCGCGGAGTAGTTTGCTGCAAGTAGTTTGTTGACTCCTCGAAATTTGCACAGGACGGTATGGAAGGCCGCTTTGTCCAAAAGGAGCCCAAAGTTGCACCTGCTAGCAGCGCTTCCCCATAGTGATCAGTGATATACAGATAAGTTTAATGGTGCCAGGCATAGCAGCAAAACAAAACTTGTATGCTCCAGCAGGTTGTGTTTCACTGATTCAAGATTGAAATATGTAAGCTGAGAGCTTCAAGGGATTGCTTTCTTCAGTTCGAACTTTAATTTGGGTGGAATTTTCGAGTGAGGATTCTTCCACTCTTTCACATGCCACTCAAGCTTCGCCCACTGTCCATAGTCTGGCAGTGCCATTGTCCCATTGTCACTGCATGCCGCGAACAGATGGGATGGGTACAAAGCTGACTCAAGTCACTTCATAGCCAAGAAGATTTTCGGGCGAGCGCATTTTCGTCAGCAACAGCTTGCTACTGTACGCATCAGAGAAGATTGGTTGAAACAAATGATTTGAGATGTTTTGAGGTATATCATGCCAGAAGTTGGTGACTTGATCTCGGTTGATATAGAAGTTTCTTGAGTAACCTCGCATTTCATCTCAAGCAAAGACAGAAGGACAAATGAAGCTCAAGCGTTGCTATTGAGCAATTAGAATATATAACCTATGTGTGACCTGACAGATCAGTTCAAACCACTCTGAGAGTATGAATCAGAGTACAGATCAATGGGCATGATTTGGCCATGTATTGTTGCCTTTTGTAGGAGTACTTCATTTACAGTAGTTTTTTCTCCCAATGATCGTCTTGAGCAATATTTACTATATACGCTTTTCCAGAAGAGATCGAATCCAGTGTCTTTGCCCAAGCACAAACCCTCCAGAAGCTTCGAAGCTCATTTTCCCAACACACCTGAATTCTGACTCGTTCGCTCAAGTTCACCCTCTTGTGACTAGACATAAATGCGAACAATGTGCGGTGCCATGTAGGCACTCCAATCGACGAGGTGACATAACGCTGACCAGTAATTTGTTTTAAGCACAATTGCATTGTGATACATAGAGGCTGTTTCAATTCTCTGACTATGGTGGATATGATTAATGAGTCGCTTTCGTTGGGACTGGTATCCGGACCTGGCAGACAGCAATTCACGAGAATCCGCATTGAACCAATCTTCATGATCCTTTTGAATCCTTTTTGTTAGTAGCGATGGCCTCCAACCTAATAGCGATGGCCTCCACCTACTAGCTTCTAGCTACTACGCTTTGAAATTGTCAGGTGTTGTGACGATCAAAGATTCTCCTCATTTTGTGACACGCAGTTTGCAACCTTCCTGCCCTGACTTGTGCAGTGCTTGACCTTGTCGGAGGAGGCTCTTGAGGTGTGGTGCTGTCAGGTCTAGTGTGGCCGTTTGGATTGTGGGAGACGCGAACATGCGCAGCAGTCTTCTTAATTGCTCAAGACAAGTTTCACCAGCTGAAATTGTACAGTGTTGCAGAGCTGATTGTCTGGTGAGGGGTACGAAACCAGCCAGCAACAGCCTGTTATAGGTCAAAAAGACTGGTCCGTGGGTCGTGGGTTCGTCCTGCTTTTGAAAATGACTAGAAGGTTGAAGCACCTGCAATCCCAATATATGGCGTGTGCTTTGCTGCCATATGTTATTTTGCGACAAGCCGCCAAAGCAAGTGCAAAGTCGCTTTAGTCTGAACTTGATTCCTGAGAGTTCTTGCGGGTGTCACACGGAGTCACCATTACATTCTATATATAATTCTATATACCTATTTGCAAAACTGGAACCGCATTCTTGGAGCCTCTCTCAACAACCAGGCAACATTCAAAGCAACAAGACCTGCGACAAACCAACAAGTTCGTCTTATTCCTGTCTTATTGTTAACCAACTGTCTTTGGATGCTTGGCTGCTATGCCTTCAGCAGGCTTTCGACAGAGCTGTGCAATCCATTGATGAGTTTTTCCAACTCTTCGAGACTCTTCCAATAATACACTGTCGAATTTATTTGAGCGGAGGGGCTACTCCGACTGAGCCTTTGGGAGCCATCATCCGTGGCAGTGGCCGCAGCAGGACACTGTGGGTTTTGTTCAATCCATGGGCCATACCTAGACCTATTCCTTGATGTGGCATGTTGTAAGGATCTCAACTGATCGAGTTCATTTGTGAGCATGAATGAGCATTTGCCACGCGCCGTCCATAAACGATCCATTCTCAGCATTCTCTATCTTTTGGCTACTCTACATTTCCTTCAGCATATGCCCAGGAGTAGTAGTCCTGGCGTCGAGTCCAATGCAGACTATGACCGAAGCAGGAGTGCCGACAGAGGCAGAGGCCACACCACTGGTGGTGTTGTGTGTGTGTGTCCGTGTGTGTGTGTGTCCCACACTGCTTCCAGGGACAGCGGACCGCCACCACTCACTGCCCAACAAAGACCGTGATGGTACGGTCGTGATATGTCGTGATATCTGGACAGGGCGTTTTCTGGACGTACTTGCATTGAATGATTTATACAATATCTTGGCTCTGACTTTATTTCTCACCTTTCCGTTTGCTCAGAGCACTTTTTGACATGAGTTTGACAGGTTGTTTTTTGCGGTAATGTAAAGGTTTAATTAGTGCACACTGGATGTACACGGCGCTTTGCTCCTAGGAGCCTCCTCCTAAGTGTGTATTCGCAGCATGGTCCCACTGCGGTGGGCCGGTCTCATGAACTCCGGATATACACTGCACTTTGTTTTTGCGAGCCTCCTTTCAAGCGTGTTCACCTTGAAGCCATGGGTTCCTTTCAGAAGTTATTTTATGATGTGCTTTGAGTATTCGCAGGGTGGCAAGGAAACTTGTCCAACGAAGCTAAACCGTTGGAGGGGAAGCGGATGGAGACGTCATTTCGTGTACCCGTTATTACTTGCTACAGCTGTGAAGGTTGTAGAGGTCTTCAGGCTGTTGCAGGATGATTCAAGTTGGCAGACGTTGGAATTGGACTCCGTTGCATGTTTTGCTCAGGTTGTTCCTTTTTACTTAGGCTCGCGTGGGCTGGAACTTTGCACTTTTGGTCGTGCGAACTGATGTCACGAGTGTGTGCGTGTGTGTGTGTGTCCACCCCTGGACCAAGGGTTTCGTCCGACCGATCCACATGTCACTTGTACCACCACCGCTTCACAAGCAGGGGCACACGGCATCCATGACCTACCGTGTGCAACGAAGCTGCGGTCATGGATGGGAAGGGAAGGCTGATCACCTTCCTGTACCTGCTTTCAACACACTGACTCCAATGGTCCACCCTGCCGCTGTTTGTTGGTTTCCATGGTTCTTCATGCCTCCACCCCCCAAACAGGTTTCTTTCAGCAGCTGAGCCGCCGATCGTCCGCAGATGTGCAGCGTTTGTTCAGCAGAGCGAGGGAAACTATGTTAAACAATTCAAGTGATCTGACCCAATCACCATGCCGTTCCACCGCCATCCTTCCCATCGTGGTAACTGAGTCACTGAAAACCAATGTCAGAGTGTGTTTCGCTCAGCCGTCCCACTCGGGTGCTGGGGAGCCGTCTTTGCATAGGAAAGCATCCACCCCAACTTGCCACCTTTCACCGGATTTCCACTGGAAGTCATTGACACACCCTTTGAATCAACTGATGCATTGGCCGCCGGGCCCAAACACGGCAGCTTTTCCCTTCACTGAAAGACCTTCTGACCAGTCTTGCAAAGAGTTTTGGCATGATCTCACATGTATCGACTTTTTGACCTGTACCGTGACCTTTTTGTCAGAAGAACTCAAGCCCGCATACCGGAGTTCTCAAATCTAATTCGAGATGCATGACCACACCCTACAACAATTTACCTTCCCAACCCTGGAAAATCAGGGATTCCACCACCGCCGGGAGCCAGCGCTTGGCTCTGTCAGGCCTCCAATCCAGACTTCACACCATTCGAAAATACACATTTCCACCCTCCAGCGCTGAAGCTGCTGCCGCCGAGCTAGTGAGGCTCTATGTCCAAAAAGGACACAACCACCACGCCTGCCACCGGTTTTTGAAAAAGCGCCGACAACGGCGACCTGTGTGTGTCCACCCCTGGACCAAGGGTTTCGGCCGACCGATCCACATGTCACTTGTACCACCACCGCTTCACAAGCAGGGGCACACGGCATCCATGACCTACCGTGTGCAACGAAGCTGCGGTCATGGATGGGAAGGGAAGGCTGATCACCTTC